GGTTTTGAAGGTGGAGGTTTCGACACAGATATAGGGTTTCAGACTTCGAAACCCAGATCTCAGCTTCTTCTTCGTCTCGTTCTATCTCCAGAAAAATCTCCTCCCCTTTCAATTAGTTTTAGGGTTTTATTTACATGTTATATTTTAGATGAATTAGGAAATATTGTTGTGATTTTTGTTACAAATTATAATTGATGAAGATTGTTAGCAATTAGATTTGTAGATTTGATTGTGTGTAATTTTTAGAGGATTCTGTATGTAATTGATTTTGGAGGATTCTGTTATGTAATGATATACAAATTTGAGATTTGTTTGAGATTTGATACAAATTTGTTTGATTCTCAAAATAATTGCTTTTTTGTTTCCATTTTTTTCCGTTTTCAATCTCTACAGTGCTTGTTTTTGAGCTCCTTGGGCCTCCACTGGGATACAAGGGTTACAAAAGAAACCCTAATTTTGACTTTCGTCAACATTAGGTTGACCGATTTAAAACTTAATTAATCAAGTTAATCCAAAAAAAATTAATGATCCTCGGTCCAAAAAAGCTTAATGGGCCAACACCTGTTCAGTTGTTGGTTTTCTTAAACACACCCTCTCTTATCATTGAAATGGTCCTCAAAGCCATTGGGCCGACCATATTCTAATCACCCCTTATTTTGCACTTATACAAATACAACCCAAATGGGCTTAGCTGTGAAGCAATTTAAGCCCAATACACCCCTCTCTGGTTTAATAAACAAAAAACAAATCAGAAATAAAAACCCCTTTCTACTTAATAATGTACATCCTTCTTATTTTTATTAAAGCAATAGTTTAATAGGATGGAATCTCAATAACAAATACACCTCCTTTCTATTTGTAAGGAAAACTTAATGGGCCATCAGATTTTGATGGTCCATTTATGAAACAATACACCCCCTCTATAAACTTTAATACCCATACTATATATATATATATATATATATATATATATATATATATATATATATATATATATATATATATATATATATATATATATATATATATATATATATATATATATATATATATATATATATATATATATATATATATATATATATATATATATATATATATATATATATATATATATATATATATATATATATATATATATATATATATATATATATATATATATATATATATATATATATATATATATATATATATATATATATATATATATATATATATATATATATATATATATATATATATATATATATATATATATATATATATATATATATATATATATATATATATATATATATATATATATATATATATATATATATATATATGAATTTGACAACAATAAATTATAAAGAAAATGATAACACCAGAAATTAATATTAATAAGGAATAAATTGATTAGAAATCAATAGGGCAAATTTGGGGTATGACACTTGGTCTCCTAGATTTTTTATCGTGATATAAATGTCGACTTCAATGGGGAACTAGCCTCAAGAGTGTTAAAGCCTAATTTGTTTTATCTGTTTTATTATTCTTTGCTTGTATATATGTGATATTCTCTATTTCTTGGGGGTGATTTGGGGATTTTTTTGAGGACAAGTCCTACACCCGGACTAAGTTACACTTAAGATTAGTATGTTGATATAATCAAAAGTTACATGACTAGCGTAATCCTTACATAAGTAGCATATGATAACCCCACTCAGTGGAGGCCTCTTTGGGGGTGGTAATGCTAAAATAAGCCAGTTGTTTAAGCACTATCACTTTAAACCTGAAAGCCCGCGAAGTTGAGAACTGTAGAACCCCTTAACTCATATTGGCCTTTAGGATGTAGTGTGGTGACAATTCAAAAGTAGTCTTGAATTAGTCGTTACATAATACTATGCTTAGATGAGTTTTCTTGAGGATATAATTAGTACTCACAAATAGTTGTCTAAATCAGTAATATCTGAAAGAGGAGTCAAGACTCTGAGAACTTTTAAAACCTTGTTCTATAGGCAATGAACCCCTAGTACATACATTGTGGGTGGTTCTTACCTTTGGCTCCATACTCGTGATATTAAACTCTTAAGCCATGTTTATGATTATTGCATAATCATGCTTTCATAAAAATCCTTTTACTCGATTTTCAAGGAACTCATAGATTCTCATTGTAAACATCAATAGGTTTTGTAATCATGGATATTGGAAAGAGGAACACTAAGAAGTATGATTTCATGAGACCTAATTTTCAAGAGTTGAGAAAGCTAGGGTCTTTGGTTATTGATCATGAAAATTTCATAAAATGTTATAGGAGCCTTTTGAGTATTCTCCAAGTTAAGGTGCCATATGGAATTCATGAAACTCTTGTTCAGTTTTATGATGCCCTTTACCATTGCTTCACGTTTCCCGACTATCAATTAGTTCCGACCTTAGAAGAGTAATCTTTTTGGATTGGGCTGCCAGTATCAGATGTTTTACCTTTCAGTGGTTTTAAGGAGGTCTCCTAGCCCCATGTTATTGCTAAGGTACTTCACTTAGAAGCATCTGAGGTGAAGGAAAATCTCACTTTCAGAAAAGGTTTTCAAGGTCTGACTTCCAAGTTCTTGATAGAGAAAATTATCGTCTTTGCCAAAGCAGATAGTAGGGATACTTTTGAGGAAATTCTTTCCTTACCTATTTATGGTCTTGTGCTCTTCTCAAACGTTGACCACTTTGTTAATATTGATGTTATTCAGATATTTTTATTTGGTAACCTGGTGCCTACTTTGCTTGGAGACGCCTACCACTCTATTCATTATAAGACTCATAAAGTATATGAAACCATCACATGTTGTGCACCTCTGTTGTACAAGTGGTTTTGTTTGCACTTGCCGCAGTCTCATCTCATTAAAGCCAACCCAAACAAGCTTAGGTGATCCCGAAGGCTTATGTCCATTACTCAGTAGGATTTAAATTGGTATATCCCATCTTATGACATTGGGGTAATCATCGATAATTATGGTGGTTTTCCTAATGTACCTCTTCTTGGTATAAAAGGAGGAATCAACTACAACCTTATTCTTGCTAGGCGCCAGTTTGGATACCCTATGAAGGACAAACCCGATAACATTCTGTTATCAGGTTTCTTTTACCTTGATGAGGAGGATAATCTAGACTTGAAGGAGGATATTATGGATGCTTGGCACGGGATTTAAAGGAAAGGTAAAGATCATTTGGGAAAGAAACACTTCACTACCTTTGAGCCTTTTACTTAGTGGGTCCTGATACAACCGGCTGAAATCATCAAACAACAAAGTCGCCATCGAACGTCTTTTATCCCACAAGGAGGGAAAGGTAAACATCGAGAAAACCTGAGAAGGGAGAAGTCACGACCTTGCGACCGAGAGATCAGGTAAGGGAGTCTATTGCACGAGGGGAGGTTATTAGCACCCCACACGCTCGTAGTACTCTATAGTATTCACTCTTGTTATCTATCTTATGGGTGTATTTAATCTATGCTTACTGTTTACTACTGCTAAAGGGAGAATACATGCATAAGAAAGGAGAAAAGAATGTAGGGAAAATAAAGTTGTACTCGCTTGGGCCCTACCCCAATGCCTACAAATCCTTTTTGAGGAATCAGAGCTATCGTAGTTTGACTCACATATTTTTGTTTGTTTGTGTTTTTATGGAAAATGTTAATTCCTCCGTTTGCCGCAGCTCAACCTTTGGAGACTTATGTGTTGGCACAGAAGTAAACTAATCATGTCCTTACCTGAAAAGGGTTTTAGAGAAAAGGTGCTTTAGTGCATAAAAAAGTTTGAGTTGGTTTGTATTTTTGTTGCAGATAATGACTAGTTGACCTCAAGAGAGAGATATTAGCCACTTTTCTACTTATCCATGAAGGGAGTCTTTGAGACTTGAACCACACCTAGGCTTGAGATGGAAGAACAATAAGATCGAGAAGAGACCCGCTTATCATTTCCCATACTCAACAAAAGTATGATTCTCATCAGTGATTTTTAAGTGTTTTGAAGTTTGGAAGGAAAAATAAGTTTTTTTGTTTTAATGCAAATGCAAAAGGGGAAAGAAAAGTCAAAGGGAGACTAGCTTATTTCTAAACCTAATGTTATTATGCATCAGACCTAAAGTTGGAATTTCAAGGGAATTCTACCTAATGTTTGCATGCCTAGATTTAAAAGCCTAATGTCTAATTTTGGTTCAATTAAATCGAAGATTAAATTGGAACCAAAATCACCTAAGGGAACATGAAAGACTATACAAACAAGCAAACTTAGGCAGCAGGTATTAAAGTATTGCATACAATCTATACCAAAAATCGCAAACGAAATACATGGCATAAAATGAGTAAAACTAGTGGTTAAAATTGACTAAAAAGTTAGTAAAAGGGGAAATTAATTCCTATTTAATTCCTAAAGTGTCTTATGATATTTTTATCATTTTTATTATGTATTTTTGTTATTAAAAAAATGAAAGAAATAATTAAATAATTATAAAAAGAAAATAAGAGAATCAGGGGGGGTATGGACTGGAATCCAGGATATATGGTTCAGCAACAATGGCACAAAGCCCAATCTGTATAATCCAATGGCACTTTTTTTTTGTATTCACAACACAACGGGCTCCAAAAAAGGCAGTATGGGCTTATGGAGATGAGTAATTCGATTGATCCAGCCTAACAACACATTTCACTAGTTTTTATTCAATCCATATTTCTTTATATTCACTATATTCCCTTATAAAAAAAATAAAATAATGATAAACAATAAACTAGGATTAAAAAGATATAAAGAGGAATCAGTTAGGGATTCTGAATGTACCGATTCGACTTCCAAGAAGAGAAATCAATTCTCTTCTTCTTCCTTCCTTTTGAATCATGGTGATAAACATATTACAGCCTCTCATCTCTATCTCATTATGCTCGTTGCCGATGACGATTCCAATTTCAATCGTGAATATAAACCACACCATAAATCTCGCCTCATCGTCATCGATGTTGAGCAGCTTCACCGTCTATGCCTCCGTCTCAATCCAGAGCTTTGTCTCATTCGATCCATCTCATCCCTCACGTTTCCACTTATGTCGAAGCAACTGCACTCCTTCCATTCCTAATTTTTCTTCTACTCAAACCCATACTCCCAAGATCAAGCTTTGCTATCATCTTCGAAGCTCTGTCCAAACAATTCCTCCGCATCGTGAATAGGAGGCCCAAACCTCTACTTTCTTAATCATCGATGTCACCTATCGTGCCACAACGTCGAAGTCGCTGTTCAACTTCTCCTCGAAAGCTCACCGTTCAACCTCCTCCTTCATTCAAGTTCAGCTTTTCCGAAACAGAAACGAACATAGGTATACGAATCATATCGCTTCCTCCTTTCCTACTTATTCTTTGAGTTTTTGATTTTCTTGAGCGCATAGTGATGTTGACCTTGTGCTGTTGGACAATGTTGATGCAGTTGCGCTTCTGCAGTAAATGATGTTGATACCAAATCTTGCTGCCTGAGTATGAAGATGCAGGTTATTATAGGTACGATACTGTGTTGGTTGAAGTTGATGAAGAGTTGTTGGTGGTGCGTTGTTGTTGCTATGAATTTGCCGTTGTCAATCCGGTGGTTTACGTGAATTATTGAGAAGTTGTTGTTGAATTACAGAGAGACGTGAGTGACTCAGATGAAGGTGATTGAAGAGAGTGAAGGAACTTCTTGCAGACAAAAAGGTGAGGTGAATTTTCTGGTTTATGAATCGTGAATTTTCCTTCTCTCTTGAATAATGATTCTCTATTCCTCCTTTTCTGGTGCTCTGTTATAATTTTTTCTGTTATAGATGGTTATATGGTTCTGTTAGAGGTTAGGGGCTTAGGTTGTTAGTTGGAAAAAGTTGGTTAGAAAAATGTTAAAAATTGGTTATGAGATCCGTTAGACTTCTGTTTGGAAATTGGTTATGAAAAGTTTCTTTCCCCTTTGAATTTCTGTTAGCTGGAAGTTTTTTTTGTTATGGACAGTTGGAATTTTGTTATAGGTTAGTTAGGGAGCTGAAATTCTGTTAGAAATTGTTTTCTGTAAGTTTGTTATGCGGCTTAGAGTTGGAAAACAGTTAGGGGTTGTTAGGTTGGTTAGAAGCGGTTAGAAGTTCTGGACATGGCTGTTAATGTGCATGGCTATTGATGTTGTTATTCTATTTTTATTTGATGCAGGAAGCAACGACTTTCATTGTAGAATGTGTGGACAGGCTCGAACTGACGACAAAGGGCTTGAAGAAAGCTTGCGGCTGGTTTGTGTTTGATGCAGCAGGGCACCACATGGCTTAACGAAGGGTTTTGCTCATGATGGACGAATACAAATCCATTCAATATGCCTTGGAATCTGAAAGTGAAAGGAAGCCTGTAAATTGGTTGTGGACTTTTATGGTATGGTGATCTCGACTCTTTGTATTTTTATGCACATGGGCTGAATGGTTTGATGCAGGTGAGTCAGTTTACTAGCAATGCAATCAAAGGGTTCACTGATTTTTATGGACAACTATTTTAATGGCTTATGCATTGCAGGGCAGTTATATCAGTAGTGGGGTGGTTCATGATAACAGTTTTAAGGTTTCGATACAAGGGCCTGTTTCTATGAGCGTTATGCTATTTTTGGTCCTTTGGTGTTGATTTTCTGAACCGGTTTCAAGTGCAATTATGGAACTAATTTTAGCGAGGATTAGTTTAATGTAATACATGTTTCTGTACTATTTTATGCAGGTTATTTAATGAAATGATTGAGGGCATGGTGTAAAGTTTGATGACCATGTCATAGTTTTGGAAACGAAGTTAAAAAGGTCATGGTGAATGATCTTGAAAAATATTGAGATGGAATCATGGAGTTTGGGTCTAGCAATTAGAAAAAATATGCTTTCATATAGTTTTCTTTATATGGTAATTTGTGTAATTTTTCAAGGTGTAATGGAATGACAACTTCTAATCTTGAGTGAAATCAATTAGGATAGTACTTGAATTCATCTTGAAATCTTGTAAATTTGAGTGCACTTCTGATTTTGGCATTGACTTTGTCAACCAATTAATATGGAATAAATGGTTTCCCTCCTTTTCAAATTTGAAATTCAACTTTCCTTCTTTAATGCCTTAATAATTCCATAAAATTCCACGTACGCTTCCAACAACTTTGATAAATTGGACCAAGTTTGAATCCATGTAATCGTTTAAATCCACTTCAACCTTAATCCAATATTGACTCGCATGACAAGAAACAAACAATTTGAAAGAATGACGCCTTGATTATAATCCATATCTCATACCATGTCTCAATTGTATGAGCAATAACAATGTCTTGGATCCTTGAAGAAAATATTTAAGATGACTTTGATCTTAAACCCTAGCTCACATAGTATTTACTTAAACTTTTAGTGAAACCCTAATGATCCTGCCCTTGATGAAGATGACAACTTTGTAGCTTGATGAAGATAAAGCTCTCAGTGACCCTGAACACAAAAACCCTAGCTCCACAGACCATGATTGATGATGAAACCAATTGATTCTTTGAGTGAAGATGAGAGCCTTAAAGCCATACAACCACCATAGTTCCTCAACATCTTAGATCCCATGCCCATATTTTATTGATTAATGAATGAATGATGTGTTAGATGACCTAATGGGAGTTATGTACATGAGAAAAGTGCAAAATGCATAAGCCAGATAAAAGTGAAAGCGGTAGGACAAATTTGGGGTATTACAGGTCCATGATAGAGCTTTCAACTCAAGATGCCTTATTCTCTTGAGAAGAATTTTCTTCCAATTGACACATCATCATCTTCCACCATTCCCATTGAGAACATGGAGGAGTATCAAGAAGTGTTGGCTAGGATGGAGTTGGAAATAGAAACTTGGGAAGAAAAGTGTCATATCTTCAAGTGTGAAAAAGGGATTTGGAAAGAAAGTCGAGGGATAAAGAGGATATACTCTATCTTAAACATGGTTAGCTTATTGATCAAGATGAGAAGCTTCATCAGAAGGATACCATGCTTAAGAAATATGATAAGGAAGGAAGTAGGAAGACCTGATAAATTTTACTCCCACTCCCAATGCATGGAAGAAAGTTGTTGATCAGTTAGTGGCCGAGAAGACTGAGATGGAAGCTTTCTATGAAGAGAAGATTAGGAAGCTCAAGATACAAGGAGCATTTGGTTCTTTTTAAGATGGGACTCCTTAGGACCTATAACACCTAAGTAATTTTCCTATTATGTTTTAGGATCTTTTGAAATTGTAGTTCGAATATAATCCTTTCGTGACTAACAAAAAAGTTTTTTTTAGCTATTTTCAAATATGTTAAGTTGTTTTCCAGTTAGTAACCTATGAGTTCCTTGAAAACTAAAAAAATCATTTTTGTGTCACATATCATACATCATACATCATTTATCATTCAATATTTACATGCTATACTCTTACTCGTGCCTTTTCCTTCTGAAAGTCAAGTTGTCTCACCAGTACCATACTCGTGCTAAGAAAAGATGGAAAACCTTAAGCAAGAGATAATTGGACTTTGCAAAGAGGTGACCACTCTGAAAGATGGTATGGAGCACCTGGCTACTCTGGTTGAAGCTTTGGTTATCGCTCAAGTCAATCCTCATATGAAGGAAGAAAAAATGACAACGGTAGCGCGCATGGAAAAGGGTGTCCGAGATGAACATTAACCTAAGGATGGTGATTCTGTCAGTGACGTAAAGAATTATGATAATGATCTCCCAAAGAGAAAGGTACATGTTTTCAATGATATTCCACCAAGGAGGCAGAGGAAGAGAACCAGAAGAAGAAATAATCACTATCGGTACCAACATGTGGTATCAGTGATCCGTATGATTAATCCAATTCTTACACCTCCTACATCTCGTGCTCATCAAACACATCAACAATGATGACAAAGCCCAAGGAGGCCACCAAGAAGGTTTGACCCGATCCCTATGACCTATAGTCAGTTTCTCACTAAGTATCTCAAAGAATCTTTGGTATAACTAAGGGAACTAGGCCCACCCAATCATCTATTCCTCTAGATTACGACGTGAATACTAGATGCGAGTACCACTCTGAGAAACTTGGACACTCAACTGAGGATTGTAGTATTCTGAAGCATAAAGTCCAAAATCTCATTTATTTAAAAGGTTATCACATTTGCACTAGACGGATGGGACTGAAGTCCTTGCTCGACACTGGCATTCTTTAGTTTCATTTACTGCTTTGTCATTTGTACTCTTTCTTGATTGGCAATATAATGTTTGCATGTATGAAATTGTTTGCATTCGATTGATAATGATAATATAATGAGTATGTTTGTCTTGAAGAAATCAATTTGTTTCACTCTTTTTTATAATTTTAATTTGTTTTTTCCTGCATTATGATACCGAATGCTACTAATCTTCTTTCCCAGACATAAATTGGAGGGAGGGTGATGATATGAAAAATGAAAAATTTATGGTTGTATGCTTTTAAATAAAATACTACTAATAATGTACAAGAATTGTTTCAAATCCCCAAACACAGGAGATATAAGGAAGATAATCCCTTGTTAACCCCTTTTGAGCCTTGAAGTAGGAGTTTCTTTCTATACGAAAAAACTTGACATTTAACCTGAGGCAGAGTAGTTTTCAATTAGTTTGACTGAGTGTTCGAAATTCCAAAAGGAATGCCCTTTTGAAGAGACCATAATGGTTATCCTTCACACATCAAGAGGTCGAAACCATACTGGTTATCCCTCCTCCATCAAGGAACGATGCAGTCATCGCTCTCCCAACAAATCAAGACAAGTCAATATCACACGATTCGTTCAAATCAAGAAAAAGAAAGCAAAAGTAAAAAGCCCACTACGTCAACAACTTGAAGTCAAGTGACTTAGGCAAAAATTAGCGCATCCCACTGGAATATCAATTCAAAAGAATTAATCTAGGCAAAAGTTAGGGAAAATAAAATAAAAAAGAACGAAAGGGAAAAACGAAAATATTACAAAGAAAAGACTACAAAGAAAAGTCCTCAGCAAATAACAAATCGATGTGACTACAAACACGAAGACAAAAAAGGTGATTTTTATTATGAAAGCCTCATTGGTTCCTTAAACCATCACAAGGTCCTTCCTTAGATATGAATACTCTTGTTGAATTAACTGAACATAGGATTAGAGAATATCACGAAGAATGGGTGGGAACCAATAAACTTTGAGCCTTAAAATATTTTTTCTGAAAATCGTGAACTCGGTCACGTTACAACCCTCAAAAGTCCTAATTGAAGTAGGGTTTATTTAGAAAGCATAATTAAACGATATAACATTCCTGAATCCCATGATTTTTGCTAAATATTTGTGTTGGTATCATATTGCTTTTGTTATCTTTCATTCAAAAAAATCAATGTCATGTCCTAGCTAGTGATTTACTTACAAGGTTTTGCAACATATTTTTAATAAATTCTTCAAGACTTAAATGATTGTTGCATTAGAATTTTCATTCTCGGAATAAACTTCTTCTGCATGCAAACATTTGCTTGACATCAAAGAAGCTTGCATATGAGCATTAGTGATGAACTTAATCATTTTGAGGCCTGAAACTTTGTTGGTTAATTGGAAAATCGTTTTAAATAATGATCATATCCAGATGCATGTTACCTAAAGACCTTAAGCATGTGCATGTTTCTTTCCTAGTTGATGCTTTCATAGTTTTTTACCCCCATGGGCCAAAGTTTGAAGACTCTGTTGTGCCAAATATAGTAAATCCGAGGCAGTCACGTCGAGATTCGATGAATCTCTCCTAGAGTTTAAAGACACAGGGGCATTTTCGATGCCAGGTTTCTTGTAAAATCCTCTTGAGATTATTTTTTCCTCATAAATCATATAACTTGGGGCATTTAAGAATTGAAGTTTATTGGCAAGAAAAGTTGTTCGTTTATGACGTACATTATGCAGTTTATCAGCAGTAAACTTGGAGCACACAAAATTAGTTCCTGGGGCAATCCAGATTTATCAAGATATGTGACCTAACTTGCAAATGTTGTTAGATGACGGTGTTCCCCAGAGATACCCAGCTGAAACTTGAAGTGGAGTTCATGATGTTGTCCCCTCAATGGACTATTGATGTTAGAAGGTTGAATTTTGGATTTTCTTCCCAAAGAAGTATTCTCCCCCTAGATAGATTTGAACCTTGAAGTGGAACTTTGTTTCGTCAAGTGGCTTTTGATTTTATATCTAGTGATAATTCCATCTTATTGAGATTGGACGAGTGCTTGGTTGTACCCTGGTATTGTTTTGTCATCCATAGTGTTATCATTTGTTTAGC